GATGTATCAAATCGTCACCACGTTACAGGACCAGAATCTGAACAATATGACCATGGTGGTCCACCACGACCACGCGCAGCATGTCGATGGGATTCAGATATTTTTCCCATTCATCTCGTCCAGTAAGACGAAAGTAGCCAATTATTATTACCAGGATAAGTGTCCGTTTGATAAGTTTATCGGCGCTTACTTTGATTACGACAACATCACCAAAAAAATAGGCGCATATTTAGTGGCAACCGATAACAAGAGCGATACTCTCTATCTGTTCTCAATGTTAGACTGGAATCGCAAACCATATGTCGAAATCGATTCGATGTATAATTTCAAGGTTTGTCCGCCGAATGAAACAACAATTTTAATGCAATTGTTATAATTCAATGCCTATTACTTATTTACTTATATTAGAAGGGATTGTGGTCTTACTTCACCACATATTGTCCACTGAGAGGTCCAGACTATTATGATTTTACCAATACTATTGTTAAAGGCTCACCTTCAGAGGCAAAACCTTCAAAAACATTGACTTATATTTTGGCAATACTTGTGTTGATTCTGATTGTGTCGACAATTATTGTCGCTTTCATTGCCTTTAAATTCAATGCAAACAACAGTCAGACCAACAAAAAGACCAAACAATAACTGATTCTCTATTTTGCAAAAGTATTGTCAAAACATTTTTTGAAACACTATTTTTGTTTTCTGTATTTACAGTTATATATATTTGTTCTCTAAATTGTAATTTCATTATTTTCAACTTATAAAACAAATAAAACCATAAAAACTAATAGAAAATGCATTTTTTTATTCATAGTATTTAAAATACTTTTGAAACTATTTTCTATCAATAATTGTAACGATTGTAACAATTGTTTTGTATTTAAAACACAGTCAATGAAAGTATGGTTTGTCATTAACATTGCGCTCACAGTTGTATTAATTATAAAATTTACTGCAATTTTAAATATTAATACGGTATATAAAATTAGAAATTAAACACTAGTATAATATTTATGATTAAATTGTTGATTTGAATTTGTGAACAAATATTGAGTAACTGTAATATCAATGACAGGAAACTATTGGATGTGCGGGAAGTGGTTATAACTTAATAATTTTGGGTCATTCAATGTTTAGAAACTAAATACTAATTAAAAATTGTCATTTTAATGTAAAAATTTGTTGTGAAAAAATAAATATTTATATGATTTTGAAGAGAATTATTTTAATATGTATTTTTATTAATTGAAAGTACAATAAGTAATACTTATTAAGTATTTTCTATAAAAATCGAATAATTTTTCATAAATAATAGTTTCACAGTATTTTTGCAAAATGTATAACAAATGTTAAATCAATCAATTGTCCACATTGTCTATGTTATGGCAAATATAATTCTTTATATCAAACCGTATTTAACAATACAATCCCGAGTCCTAAATAAGCGGTAAAACATTAAACGTTGGGATCAATCCGTGTCTTCACTCTTGAGATGTATTTGTTATTATAATTTCATTTAAACTCTTATGGAAAGGCATCGGAAGCCCAGCCATCACTTTCACTCCTATCTCAGCGCTAATTAAATTCAAACCACAAAACATTGCAAACCTTTGATTGAATATAAATCTCAGTTTTAACTATTGTTTCGGTTGTCTATAATATCATTGGTTTCCATTGGAAATGTCTTGAACTACAATCTCGTCCCAAACGATCTCACGATATATTCATTTGGATTTTTGCCGTATTTGTTGATTAACACTAATAATCAATCAATTGATCCAATGGTTCCGTTGGGAGTATAGATGGTGAGAGTCGGTGAACGTACGGCCAGTTCTGTACTGCATATGGTTTACACTTCATATATCCTTTACTAATACACTTGCAAACGGTTTGACTTGTATTTCGGATTTTAATATAAACAATACCCGAAGACATACCCTCTCTGGATAGGCATCCGATGTCCGGACATCACTTCCGACCCCTTTTTGACTTCGATCTGAGCGTTGATTAAACCAAACCAACAAAAGCCCAACTTTTCCTCCAATCCTTGTTTTGATGTGAGATGTGTTGAAAGTTTCAAAACTATATAAAATTCCTGAATTTTAAATATAAATATCATGTTTTATTTTTGATGATAATACTAACCATGGACATTTGTTCACCATTATATTATAGACAAGATGTCTATTAACACCACATTCTGTGCGATTGATATAAAATGGTATTTTGGGAACCGATAGTCGGTTTTGTGGTCGAAGTCGAGATTGTAGTCCGGTTTTGGGTTATGGGCGTTGAGGGAGTGCTGGAGATTGTGGTCATATGGTAGTGATGGGTAGTGTGACCAGGTGGGCAAATGATAATAGTGTACAAAAGCTAAAAATATTTGTCAAAATAGTGTACAAATAGTGTACACAATATTTATTTCAAAATTTTGATTTTAAATGTAATTATATAATGTCATTAATAGTACATAACTTTATATTCGAAATTAAATTAACACATTTTAATAGTTCTATATTAGGATAATCAGATATGTGCCCTTAATCATGTTTATGATAACATCTGTACACTATTCTGTTAAAATCTTGATGCAATCGTATAATATTTTGAATTAATTATTGTCTATAATTTTTTACACTCTTATAACATAATTTGTTGTTCATTACAAGTAATGCTTTTACACAAAACAAAATGTTTTATAAAAGTCTTTATTTTTTAAGTTAATTTTTCGTTGTGATCAAATAATGTACAATAGTGTACAGAATAAAAATAGTGTACAATGAGATGAAATAGTGTACAATGTTGCTCAATAGTGTACACCTGGTCACTCTAGTGATGGGTGACATTTGGGACTACGTGTACGTCTCGTACCTGAGTATGGGTTTCGATACCAAAAAACCTGATAAAGGCATCCAAAGCCCAGACATCACTTTCCACTTCCATGTGATTAAACTTTTGCCCAACTTTTGCTCCGATCGTTGTTTTGACGTCAGATGTACTGAAATATTTAAAACTACATAAGACTGTACTTTCAATATAATATAATGTTTTATTTTTAATTATAATACTAACCATGGACATTTGCTCACCATTATATTACAAACTAGATGTTATAATAACCACATTCTGTGCCATTGATATAAAATATATTAATTTCCAATAGATTTGCCATAACATAGACAATGAGGACAATTGATTTAATAACAATGACAATTAATAATTGAAATTAAATAAATGATTATATATATTATTTATAAGCTCTAATAAAAGTCGATCAATATTTTAGTTTAAAACACAATTACAAGTGATTTCAAACATTTAAAATCATTGTTTTATAAATGTTTGAAAAATAAGTGAAATATTTATTCAAACTTTCATTTGTGGGAAAAATATTTTGCATTTTATATAAATGAATTAATTTCCGATTAAATCAAGCGATTTATTGTTTTAATTAAATTATTTGTTGAGAAGTATTTGTTATAAAAACAAATGAAAAAATACTTTAAAATTAAATAATTATAAATTTTATAACAAAAATAATAAATTATTTTATTTGACTAATAATTTAACAATTATCTAAAATTTTATAGTTTTAATTAATATTTGTTTGTTTAATAAATTCCTTAAATTTTTATAATTAATTTAAACAGAAAAATTACTTAAAGATGACATTGATACAATTAATGCATTATTTAAATAACTATTTTAATTATTTAATAACTATATAACATGAATATAAATTCAACTGACTTTACATTTAAAGTTTACATTCATAGTTACAAAAATAGATTTAAAATTATTAATTTTTTGCTAAACTTAATGAATGCCGTAATGTTTTAACACAAAAATTTGGTTAAATTATAAAATTATATTTTAAAAATTATTTTTCTTAAAAGTTAATGAATTTAATGTAATTTTTTGGAAAATCTTAAAAATTCAATACAAATATCATTTGAATCGACATTTGAAACAAATTAGTATTTAATGTCCAAAAGGTGTCACTATTTATGCCAAACACTCATACAATACACCAAATGGTTGTTAACCAATGGTTTCGTTGTTTACACAAAGATTAGACAATGTTTCCCATCGAAAGTCTGACTAAATAGTTGAGAATTACTGGAAAATCCCTCACATATTGGAAACATTATTTGGGTATAAATATTATCGAAACTATTAAACCAGTTATTGGTTTGGGTTAAGAGAGTGTGAGTCAGAGTTGAGTCAATGCTTGAAATCAAATGGTTTTATGTTTTCATTGTTTATAAATTGCGGCAAAAGTTTTGATAAAGTAATCGATGTTTTAATAAGTAGTTTACGTTTTTATGTGATTTTATGTCATATTTTGTGTAATATTATAAGCAATCGATAAAAACAATTGATTTGTCCATAAATTGTGGTTAACTTTGTGTAGATTTTAAACTGGATTTACAGCTGAAGTGATGGCCACCGAAGACAACGACAGCCACTCTTGGGATCAAATCACACACAAAGACATGACTTTAATTGAAATCAAGAATCAGTTGAAAGAAATCAAAAGTTTTTGCAAAAAATTAAACAAATTTCAGTTCATTTTGAATACAAATAATAGTGTTTTGAATGAAACGATTGAATCACTAAATCATTTGGATTTACATTTCAATCAAACAATTGATTGCAAAACATTCAAAATCAGCGAAACATTGCTTTCAATTAATAATAATAATAAGTATTTTTACTGTTTTTGGCCGAAATGTCATTTCAAGTCTAAAAATGAAGAGAATTTAAGAAAACATCAATTAATTCATTTAAATATAAAGCAATTTGAATGTGATTTCAATGATTGTAACAAAGATTTTACACAAGAATCACATTTAATTCAACACAAAATTAGTGTTCATTTGAATGAAAAACAATTTAAATGCGAAGAAGAAAATTGTGGCAAAAGTTTTAGTCAAAACTCACGTCTAAATCAACACAAAGTGAAGCATTCGGGAGAAAAACTATTGAAATGTAATTTCGATTATTGTAACAAAACTTTTAAATCAAACGAACAGTTAAATCAACACAAAAGTGATGTTTTAAAGAAATTGCAATAATTTCACGAATAAACACAAACTAAATGCACACAAGTTATGCATTCGGGAGAAAAACCTTTTAGAACAACAAATATTAGTGCTTAATAAACATGTTATATAATTTCCATATTAAAAATTCTAATACTTTTAATATTGTTATACAGTATTGTCTTATATTTATAGCTAATTGTAATGTTTATACATTTAATACAAGAATAATTATAAAAATATCTAAAAACTAATTATCTTTACTAAAATTTATTTGTTTGACTAAACATTGATTATAACATCAAATGATTTATTAAATTTCAATTCAAATAAATTATTTGCCGTAAAAATGTATTTTGTTTAAAATGTCAAACAATTGAAACAATCAATGAGTTTGTGGTTATGTTAAGCACCGGTCGATCACTGACTAAATGATTGGTATTTAATACCCAAATGATGTCACTATTTATGCCAAACACTCATACAATACACCAAATGTTTGTTAATTAACCAATGGTTTCGGTGTTTACCCAAAGATTAGACAATGTTTCCCATCGAAAGTCTGACTCATATACTATTAGTTGAGAATTATTGGAAAAACCCTCACATATTGGAAACATTATTTGGATATAAATATTATCGAAACTATTGAACCAATTATTGGTTTGGGTTAAGAGAGTGTGAGTCAGAGTTGAGTCAATGTTTGAAACGGTTTTATATTTTTCTTTGTCTATAAATTGCGGCAAAAGTTTTGATTTTGTCTATAATTTAAAGTGTTTTTCAATTATTTCATAGAATTTTCAATTGATTTGTGGTTTGAGTGCCGAAAGTGAACACAATTTACACCCAAATTGTGTCCACATTTTGAATGCGATTTCTTTATCCAAACGTTTACTTCAAATACCAATCAATCGCTTAATTGTTGTCTAATTTTTGTGCATTTGTTATAAATATAATGCGATTATAATTATTGATATAATTAATAAAGTAATCGATGTTTTAATAAGTAGTTTGAGTTTTAATGTGATTTTATGTCATATTTTGTGTAATATTATAAACAATCGATAAAAACAATTGAGGTTACACAAGCGCAAACAGGTACCAGACATTTAAGCATGCTATTCGATAAACCACCTCACACAGGGTTTCGGTATATAATTTCACAGAAATTCTGTGTCGAATTTTCGAGTTATTCGACTTTAAAA